ATTAGCAGATAGCTCAGATTCCAAAGCTATAAGTACATCAAGTGAATATGAAGCAGAAAGACGAATATGTATGTATGCGAAGAAATACAAAGTCAAATTTATAGTGAAATGAAATAAGGAATACAGCAAGGTAAAACAAAAGGCTAATAATATGATTTGAGTACATATATACATGGAGAGGAGAATGAATCATCGAGTGAAATTTAAGAAATTAACATTTTAGCTAGAGTCTGTCATATGCTATAGTAATTATAACAATACAAAGAAATATGCAAATTATTACTGTTCAAGTAAGAGTGTTTGTTGTGTAAGTTAAGAAAAGGACTTAACCAAATATATTATTCCTATTTAATGCCTTACATCAACTAGGCACCCAAATACTTTGAAACTTTTAACTCTAAATTAGACGAAAGTTCTTATATAATCGAAATTAGTTGTAGAATAGTTGCTATAATAAGATGATCTTAAAATAGAATGGATGTATCATCCATCATATGTTAGCCTACTTTAATACCATTTTGTTGAATAGATTCATCTTAATAATTTATTGTCTAATACTATTTCATCAATTAAAATTTGGAAATAATTCATGGAAATAAAATCATTGAAATGACATGGTGGTTGAAGGTGGTCAACAGGAAACACTAGACCCGGGTTTCGTGCTACTTGGCACTCATCAGAAAGGTTTGCCTGCAATCTTGAGGGAACTGGTGCTCCCTGATGGATTCGATCCCGTCCTCTGGTAGGACTGAGATGTAATCACAATTGATTGATCACTGGGTGGTGGTCAATGTCATGCGTGCCAATTCCGTGTTAGTGCTGATCGAATGCTATCGATCAAGTTGCAATGTGGTCACTAGCCTAGGTGGTTCGACACTGCGTGCACTTTGTTCAGATAAGATAGCATAACATGAAACTTATTAGTTAAATGAAATAAACTTGATGGTTTATATAAGTTACAGTTTCATTTCTTTGATTAGCATTCTTATAAAACATTGACGTGATGATGAAGGCAGTCACTAGTGTTTATACCTAGAACTTGAACATAAAAATCACCTAATTTGTCAAATAAAACTTATTTTACTTATCTACTTACGTCTGTTGCTCCCAATGGAGCATAGGCCACTGACCAGCATTCTCCAACCTACTCTGTCCTATCACTTCCTTCCTAGCTCTATCCAATTCTTGTTCATTCTTCTCATATCTGTCTCAATTTCTGGGCGTAATGTGTTCTTTGGTCTTCCTCTTTTTCTTTGACGTTCAGAATTCCATGTGAGGGCTTCCTTTGTGACGCAGTTGTCTGCTTTTCTCAATGTGTGTCCTATACACTTCCAGCGCTTCTTCCTGATTTCTTTCTTCCACTGAAATCTGGTTTGTTCTCTCCCACAGTAGAATGTTGCTGATAGTGTCTGGCCAACCGATCTGAAGTATCTTGCGTAGACAACTGTTAACAAACACCTGTATCTTTTGGATGGTCTCCTTTGTTGTTCGCCAGGTTTCCGCCCCATACAGTAGAACTGTCTTGACATTTGTATTGAAAATTCTGATCTTGTTGTTGGTTGACAGACAGTTGTTTTGAGTTCCAGATTTTCCACAGTTAAATAATAAAAGTTATTTAGTTACATATAATACAATCTTAAGTAGAAGATGACAAGCTGTGATTGTTTTCTATCTCTTTTCATTTCAGGAAATCCCATTTTATATCATTCATCTTGAAGTAGTTTCACAAATAGGATTTAACTATACAAAGCATCGAGTATCTAAGGTTTATTTAAGAAGGATTTCTAGTTTTGAAGCTTATTTTGATGTAATTTAACACTTAAGATACTGAAAGTTTACTGAATAAGTAAGTGAGTACAGTAAGAGTACAAGACAGAGGATCACTTTTTGACAAAAGAAACACAGATTATAAATAAATGTCAACTGTATAGTGTAATATTCCTATTGTTCAAAGCATCAAGACCTACTGAAAAGATAATACCATAAATGGTCATGCATGAAACATTTGAGGTAATACGAGCTTTATATTTTTCCATACAATTATGATGCGTACAACATCAAACATTTTTTTAACAATAAAGACTTTAGAACAAAAAAGCGAAATTACCAAGTGCCTGACCACAAATATTGAAGTAAAGTTGAATAATTTCCTGATGTATCAGTATACGGATCTCAGTAAATTACAGTAAATTAACTGATAGGCATGTTACCTAAACACATTAAAATTTAACAGGCAGTCGGAAAAATTTGATAACCAGTGTTTTAAATCCATATGAAAGCATGGGACTATTTGTATGATATACATATTGAAATGTTTTAGGACTGTATGAATCAAACTCATATATTCATGGTTACAAAGAAATATCACTTTTATTCTACTCTTATAAAAGCTATACGAAGAAGTTTAGGTAACAACAAACATAAATTCTGAGTTATCAGTTAGCATATATTCTGGATAATTAGATTTGCAATATTTCAAGTAATGTGTATACTTGACGACCGTATCGTCCTATTATGAAACTCTTCAGCAGTGCTCATCCACGATCCCGCCTCGTGAAATTCGAACTCAGGACCTATTAGTTCCACGAGCGAGCGTTTTAACCATTAGACCACTGAGCCGGCATCCAACGGTGTTAATGTCTAACTTCAACCGATCCGCGAAATTGAACCACATGCACCAGTGCCTTCAGTGAGTTAATATCTCACAACAAGCCTGTTTGAACTCCACTGGTCATTGCTTCTCATTAGAACTCCAGGAAATACCTTATGGAGCCAGTCACTAGTGAGCATATGTTGATTAATATCAGAATGGGTTTTGTGTATATTATAGTCATTTTGATAGTTAAACATTAACACCGTTGGATGGTTCCAGGTTTTCCATGGTGGTCTAGCTTCAATTGATTAATGACTTCAATTATAAAATTACTAAAATCTCTACAAAACCAATTCTGAAAATATAATTACATTTGATAAGAATCTCTAAAGATATTCCGAAAGACATTTATTTTGTAAAACATACTTTACAGACTTCAGCAATGGGACTTAATACTTAACGATTTTTATTAGTAATTTACATCAAACCAATCAGATTTGAGATATGTACTGATCATTTGTAAACGTTTCTACTGATGATTTGAACAACTCATCATCAACATATAGGTTTCGTTTTTCTGAAACCGAATTCAGTGGATTGGTTGAAGTTAGACGTTAACACCATGGGATGCCAGCTCAGTGGTCTATAGGTTAAGTGCTCTGGAGTGAGACCAGTAGGTTCTGGGTTCGTATCTCGAGAGGCCAGATCATGGATGCGCACTGCTGAGGAGTCCCATAATAGGACGAAACGGCCGTCCATTGCTTCCAGATTTTCCTTGGTGGTCTAGCTTCAATTGACTCATGCTTTCAATTATGAAAATGCTGAAATCTTTAAAAACTCCTGAAATGAATAAATGTTAATTAAATGATATAAATCTAAATTTTTGTCACAATCAACTACTTCGCAATAAGTTAGTACTATCATCTCGTATTATTATTGATCATATTTCGTCAATGATAATTTAATACATTTCAAAGGTTACAAATCTTCACTTAGAATAGTTTGTCAGTATTGATTCAAGTAGAGTTACTTCAATAATTATACAGAATATAATGTATGATGTACAGATTTCAGGATCTTTTTTGAAATGCACTATAGAATAGATACGAATGGTCAGGAAAGATCATGAAGCATGTGAATACAATTATGTAAGAACCGAGGATTAATACACAAAGCAATTATTATTTCATACAACCCTCATAGTTATTGTTAATCAATAGGTTCATGTTTTCCCCATAGCATTTCAAAATGTAACTATTTGTAAAACTAAACATTCATTCTGCTCATTATCTTTTATTCCTTAGTAATTATTCAATTTAATTTACCTATTTGAAAGTTTTAAAAATTAAATTATTTGCAATAATTTCAGTCATAAGCAAAGATAGACAGTAGCTAACAGTGGAATCCAGATTGACGTGCGTTTCATCCTACTTGGAACTCGTCAGATCGATGTACCTGCATCTCAGAGTTGACGTTCACTCTGAGTCTCGAACCCAGCACCGTTCGCATCAAACGCATTGACATTATTCACTTAGCTACTGAGTTCTGACAGCCATTTGCATGTGCTTAAGTCCCAGAGTGAACATCAACTCTGAAATGAAGGTACATCCAGCTGACGAGTTCCAAATAGGATGAAATGCGCGTCAATTTGGATTCCACTGCTAGCCACTATCCGTCTTTGCTTATAATGTTTGTAAATTAAAGCTATATCGAGGCAATACCCAGAGTATACACATATGCCAATAAGTGACTCATCAATTTTAGTCCTAAACATCAATAGGAAGATTCAAACCAACAATACCGAGTGAATTTCACTAAGAGCAATGTATACATCATTATAAATACCCTCAAATTGCCTGACATAATAATAATGAACTAAGAAACTTCTGTATTTATTCTTAGTTAATGGCAATTACATTTTACATAGCTTTCATAGTTGAAAGCATGAGTCAATTGAATCTAGACCATCAGGGAAAACCTGGAAGCACTTGACGGCCGTTTCGTCCTATAAGGAATCCTACAATAGGACGAAACGGCTGTCCAGTGCTTTCAGGTTTTCCCTGATGGTCTAGCTTCAATCGACTCATAATTTCAACTATGAAAATACTGAAATCTTCACAAAACCCCTTCTGATTAAAATAGCTTTGTTATCTAAAATTGATTTTATTTTTGTCAAATAATCTTACATGGAACCTATGTAGCTTATATATCAAAGTATATAACCATTATCTTATGTATATTATTAAATAGTTTCTATGTAACCAATCCATTAAAAGTTTAACTTTTCATCTCATAACATAAATAAGCATTCACTTGGTAACAAACCAATCATTTCAAATATTGTCATATCAACTAATCTATAAATAGAAAGATATTTGAGTTAACTGTGAACGAGATATTACAATAGTATTGCTGTTTTTGGGGTGGTTACCAATAAGTAATAAACAGGTAATGTGTATTTTTTTAGATAATTTTTGTAATACCATAACATCATATCATTTTCATGAAACTGTAAATGTTTTTTTTTAAAATATCGCCTTAGTTTCCATCTTAAAGACACTTATTAGATCACAGATAAGAGATTCCATGACAATAAATTTTAACTATTTACGATACTTAGAAATGAGTTGTATACATGAAGAAAGGTGTATTGTTGTTTGGCACTAAGTAGTTATTTTAAGGTTCTTAAAACATTCAATGTGATAAGGTGCAAATCATTACTCATTAGGTTACACAGTAATTGTTTCCATCAGTGAAGTTTTTTATGACCACTTAATTCGATGCCTAATATTGAATCAAGTGGATCAAACTCAAATGTAATACCAGTCGGTAAATTTGTGTCGGAAAGTGTGGAATCACTGGTAAGAATCTGAGAGATCAATATGAGCTATGGCTTGAAGCAGTGATGGAAAATAAGTACTATTCAATTTGATTATATAGAAACATAACAACCAGTAACATTTACATTTGAACTATGAAAGGGTAAAATATCAAACTGAAACATTCAATACTCTTCTATTAATCCAAAGTCGAAGACAGAGTGCTCAAAATTTATTTTAAATTAGAGCTCAATATCATTTCATACTTCTTAATATTTGGCTTCAATCGTTTCCGTTAAAACTACATTTATAATGTTTAGCCATCAGCTACAGCTGAAATTACTCCCCCCACTATAAGGATGAGAAGTGTGTTTACTTCGGCCGACATGCAGTTGCTCTAGGTCTATGAATGACCGTCTCATTGACTGACTGTCCGTTTATAAAAAGAAATTTTAGACAAACACAAAATTAGATGTGATAACTATCTTGACTTCCCTTGAAGCCAACGCTTTAACTACATGACATACTGTGGCTTTTTCCTTAATGACTAATCTATTCTTACATTCATGAGATCATCATTTTTCAATATTCAATAGTTAATTAAGTCAAAAGAAAATAATTTTGGATGGATATTTATTCTATATGCATTGAATACATTCTTATTCAAGAAAACAATGTACCATAGTAATGACCATGTGTTTCCAACTTGGCAATTGCAAACCGGTTAATGATAGAAAGTAGTTAAGAGTTACAGGATGAATAAAAGCTAAAACGTTGATCAGGTTTAAATAATAATGACTGGATCTTGATTCAGGATGAATTACGTGCCGTATGTATATTGTGTTAAACTTAAAATCAGTCTATTACAAATAAGTTTTCAGTACATATAAGTATTTTGTAAAGTAAAAATGGTTTAAAAAGTTTCGATTGTTATGACTGGTGGTCGACTGTTATGACTGCGTCAACAATTGTTATATCTGATCGTCGCAAAGTGTTATGTCGGAATTGCTTAACACTTATACTCGAAAACGAGGAATAACTGCAATTCAAACGACTGGAAAGTAAGAACACAAAGACTGATACAGGTGAAGATTGATTAACCTCAAAACATGACAACGATCCTATTCGAAAATACACTTATTTATATATTGATTCATATACCCATTTTGGTTAATAGTTAGGATAAAAGCACATATACGATAAGTACTTAGAGTTATAACAAATTGGGATTATTTAAGAATAAAGATCCACTTTCAGAAGTTTAACTGAGACTACAAAACAAAGTTTTATATAATCTTACAATTCATATATTCAATGTAGTACATAAGTTTTAAAATTACATATTTTATTAAAGACGTCTTATTTACGGGTTGAAAAGCGATGAAACAATTAACAACACTTATATCCATACTATGAAAGGGCAAAATATGGGATTGAAGTACTCAAATACTGTTTTACTGAGTTAAAATCAGTAATAGTGTTACGCTTTATATATTTTTATACATAATTATGCCTGTTACCTCTCGTGGAGGAGCATAAGACGCACACCAGCATTTTATATTCAAACCTGTCCCAAGCAATCCTTTTCGGTTTTTTCCAGTTGTTATTCATCCTTTTCATATCTTCTTCTATTTCCCGGCGTAATGTGTTCTTTGGTCTTCCTCTTTTCCACTTACCCTCAAGATTCAAAGTTAGGGCTTGCATCGTGATGCAGTTTGGTGATTTCCGTAATGTATGTCCTATCCACTTTCAACGTCTTTTCTTAATTTCCTCTTCAGCTGAAAGCTGGTTTGTTCTCTCCCACAAAAGGTTGTTGCTGATGGTATCTGGCCAGTGAATTTCGAGTATTTTGCATAAATACTTGTACGTTCTTGATGATGGATGTAGTAGTTCTCCACGTTTCAGCTCTATACAGTAGAACTGACTGTCTTGACGTTCGCATTGAAGTTTATGACTTTGATATTTATTGACAGTTGTTTTGAGTTCCATATGTTCCTTAGTTGTAGGAATGCGGTCCTTACTTTGCCAATCCTCACCTTTGCGTCTTCATCAGATCCTCCTCGGTCATCAATGATGCAGCTGACCAGATATGTGAAAGACTCCACATCTCCCAGAGTTTCTCCATTAAGTGTGACTGGCTTGGCGTTCTCCGTGTTGTATTTGAGAATCTTGCTTTTTTTTTTGTATGCTGAGGGCTATTGATGCAGAAGCTACTTCTACATTAGTTGTCTTCATCTGTATTTGTTCTCGTGAATGAGATAGGAGGGCTAGGTCATCTGTGAAGCCCAAATCGTCTGATTGATTCTGAGATGTCCATTGTATTCCGTGCTTCCCCTCAGATGTCGAATTCTTCAGAATGTAGTTAATCATTAAATATATATATATATATATATATAGTACTTAATACATTAAATAAGTCATATGGCCGTAAGTAGTCGGAATTATGTAGAACAAAAGTGAAGTAATCTGTCTCATTATCGGCGGTGGGGTGGGGTCGGCTCGGAAATCATAATCGACATGCAATAATTGTCAACCTATATTAATGTATCATTAGTATAAACAGATTATTGACAAAACTTAAAAGATTCTATTGTTTTGTCAAATAAACAGATCATTCTGAATGTGTTCATTTCTTCTACATTTAGTTAGGTATACAAAACAAATATAATTTGCAGTAAACAAGTTGTTTTTTTCTTTTTTGACAATGTTTATCTTTTTTCTATAACACACTATATAAATCATTGTATTATGAATCAATTATTGTATTGCTACAGAGACTAACTACAGTTCACCGGTAAGAATTCATTTACTTTATTATTTTAAAAGATTGTTAAATACGTATTCTCATAGTTGAAAGCGTGAATCAATTGAAGCTAGACCATCAAGGAAAACCTAGAAGCACTGAACGGCCGTTTCGTCCTATATTGGGACTCCTCACCAGTGCGCACCCACGACTTCGCCTCGCGAAATTCGAACCGAGGATCTACTAGTTAGACATTAACACCACGGGCTGCCGGTTCAGTGGTCTATCGATTAAGTGCTCTGGTACAAGACTTGTAGGTCCTGGGTTCTAATCTTACAAGGCGGGATCGTTGATGCGCACTGCTGAGGAGTTCCGTGATAGGACGAAACGGCCATCCATTGCTTCCAGGTTTTCCATGGTTGTCTAGCTTTAATCGACTCATGGTTTCAACTTTGAAAATTCTGAAATCTCCACAAAATCCCCTTCTGATAATGGTCATTTCATTTATTTGTTTTCTGTCGTAACTTTGAATAAATCATCATTCCTATGTCTAACACTGAAAAATAAATGATAGCACCATATTATTTATGTAAAAGCGTTCTACTTATAACCTCTCATAATCGGCTATGAACCATTGCTCATGTAAACACTGACGACACTCCGAAGATTCAGAAATGGAAGTGAGTGGAATAAAGTTCTAGAGTATGGCTTATGGGTTAGTGGTGATTGTTTTAATTAACAAATCGCCAATCCACTGGTATCTTTTAAAAAACAAACCATTAGCATGATTCTAAAAATAAAGCTTTATTCAATTAAAACAGAAATTCAACAGTAAACCTATATAAATGATCATAAATCATCCTTGAATAAACAAGCAGTGGTACCATTCAATTCTGCATCGAACCTAAAAACAAAGCGAGTAAATAAATTGTTTTGCTTAACCCTCTACCACCTATATCACCAATTATAAATTGTTCAATCGATGCGACCAATAAAAGTCAACAGTTTACTACAAGAGTAATAAGTTTCAATTAATATCACTTTTACGTTGAGGATAATAATTTTCTATAGCTTACTCAATCTCATCTTAGTACTTTGTTACTATCTATAGGAGTAATGTATGCACGGTTTAGTTGTTATGCAATTACACTGACTGGAAACTGAAAATTCTTGCTTATACAATTATTAATTTATTCACATTCAATCTTTACTTAAACTAAAACGGTTGCTCAATTTCGTGGATTGGTTAAAGTTAGACATTGACACCTCTTGATGCCAGGTCGATGTTCTAAGGGTTAGGAGTTGTCGCGCAAGACCGGAGGTCATGAGTTCGAGTCCCGTGTGTGCATTGTGGATGCTCACTTCCAAGAGGTCCCATACTAGGACGAAACGACTTTCCAGTGCTAACAGGTTTTCAATGGTGGTCTAGTTGAGATCAAATCGTGATTTCAACTGTGAAAATACTACAATCTATTCAAATCCTCATACTGAAAATACATCATATTCCTATACATCACAAAATTGAATTATAATAAATTAATCAAAATTCGGAAATTTTTCGAGTTTACTACAACTACGTTACTCGTTTAACCCTATGGAAAGTTGAAGATTATCCACTGTTATTACGTGAGATCTTAAGGTGGAACTATTTTTCAAGAACAGACATTGAATTAACATACACTCTTTTCAATGGATGTTGATAGTCATTGTGATATCTTCACTTAAAGCTCACGATATTTTACAGTAGTAGGCTATAATCTTTTATATTAGCTAGTGAATAAATGATGTTATTTTTTCGACATAATTGCTGAGGTAAATATGTAAATAGTTGGGAAAATAGAAACCCTAGACTCTCAAGAAGGCATCTAGAGGTCTTCCAGACAACTTCTACGATAATGTTTTACGAATGATAAAAAGCTCTTGTTAGAGACCTTAAATTACATGTCTCAGATCTTATCTCTATGTTTAACAAATATTTGCGGTATGAAATCTAAACAAATATACAGTCTGTGATAGCTCATACTATTCTTAGCTCGAAATGCTATGGATCATCCATTTATGAAAAATTTAATATTCTTTTGTACCAATAAAGAATTAAAAGCATATTTTAACAATGGTTAATGAAATATGGTATCATGAAACAAAGAGGATCATTTGAAGTATATCCACGTTACCACTAACGAACTGTTCACAATATATATACATACATGAGTGATCACCTCATAAATACATTTAAATACAGTTGAGATTAACTGTCTCCCTTAAATGATTATGACCTATTGTTTCCATCAACCTGAAGGAAATGAATAGTGGAGTTTTACGAGTCCATTGGGAATTAGGGTTATACTTGTTTTGAGACACATTATTTTAACCATTATTATCATGTCAAGTGTATATTAGAAAAACGTTTCGTTATACTAATTCGTCTGTTAATTACTCACAAGCAGGAAAAATGTAAGTTAATGTTTTCTTTAAAAAAAACTTGTTGAAATGAAATCCACTTTTTGAGCATTTATAAGCAACTCCATATTTTCTTTTAATTTATGAAACCTTTGGTTTTTCTAAATTTTCTTAGGGGAAACGACGACGGTCATGGGTAAGCAGAGATATTTTCAGAAATTTCTTTATCTAATATAAAGATATTGTGTATTGCAATGTGACTAGTCGAAATTCTACCGATTGACCAACTTCAGATATTCCTGTACGACCCCAATACTATTCCCCAAATATTTATCTAAAGCATCATTATTTATCGTTTTAGATAAGAGAAAATTGATTTGACTTTTATTCGGTATTCTTCTCAGACTGGTACCTATCAGGATAATATTAAAAATGAGCTAGAATTGGGACAAATTTATGGAACTTTTCTGAAATCTACAACCACACAACTGGCTTGGATAAAACCTGTGATGTTCAAGCCCGGTTTCATGTTTTACGCATTATACATACATGCTCAACTTTAATAAATTTATAATATAGCTTGAGAGTTATTCAATCCTACTTATTTGCAAGTATATCACTTTTGAACGATCAAATCCTAACGATAACGACTTCGCATCTGAAATCCAAGAACCTACCCTAAAGTAAATCACTACTAAACACAAGATTATTGTATTGATGAGAGTTTTATGTAGATCGATCTAAATATTATACGAAATTTTTCACAGAACAGAAAAACAACTATCGAGTGCACCTTGGTCTCTATTAATACTCAAACTGAGGTCGAACTCTGATCAATAACACTTATTTTCAATTTTTTGAAACAATGTAATTATATGAATGAAAAATGTAACAAAAATAATGAAGGGCTATATGGATTTAATCAGAAGTCACTCTCTATGTATTGAAACTTTTGTAAAGTAAGATGGTGGTTCGAGGTGGTTAACAGGAAACTTTGAACCCGAGTTTCGTACTACTTGGCACTCGTCAGCAAGGTGTACCTGGAATATTACGTAATTTCATCATTACGGGAAAAATCAGAATAGAGCTTCATCAAATTGATGTATTTAGATTCATATCATTATACTTTAAATTTTTGAAATACACGTTTACTATGAATGTTGTTATATATTTGTTTAATACAGTCCAAAATCCAAAGAACAGTACGTTTTCTCAGTACAATTTACTGTTTAGTTCATTAGCTATTCTTTTGTTTTATATATGTAGTATCAAATATTTTCAGTAATGTTTTTTATCTAAGAGCTTGTGAAACTAAATAGAAACTGTTATAAATGGTAGGATACTTGTTATCACACTAGGGTTTCTTTTTTTCACGTATGTGGGATGTTAATTTACTTTAGACGAATATCTATACTAGATTCCCTCCCAGTGTCTATTCTACAGGACTTCAACACAACTCAGATCAATAACACGAGATTAGCCTGAGTAGAATGTTAATATATTTCCACACCAAAATCCGACACAATCCAACAACAAGAACAGTCAATCAATAATAATTATAAATAGTGAGGATAGGGGGATATATAACAACTGTTACACTATCGACATGTCTGACTCAGCAAACCAACCAATCATTACAATTCTCACCCACACATCAGAAACAATGAATAATCTTTACTTCATAATGTCATATGAAAGATAAATTTATTTTCATTAAATTATTTAGAGAACCTAGAATTACTGAACTAGTGTTACTATGAGTGAGATCTGGATTCAGACTCGATCGTTTATGTTAAATATCACAGTATTCACAGTATTCAGCAATGCCAATTCTTCTTGAACATTACCACTAAATATTGATTTCAATTGAGAACATGATTTATCTTCAACATTTTTATGAACATTTGTCTTCCTTTAAATTGAATAAGTTCTATCCTCGGTGAGGAAGATTTATGCAAAGTTTAGATACGTGGATAAATTTGAATTTCTAACCGTGATTTTGTTAACCATGTGGAAGTGATTAACTAACTCGGTACTGGAACTTTGTGAATCAGACAACTCATATAAAAACATGAAGACAACCGATGAAGATTTATTTGACTCAACAAAACCAACCAAAATCAAATTTAAATACACTACTTTTTCTGTGATTTATTGACATTCAGATTAACAGCCAGATTTGTATAAACTGAACTAAGCAGTATCTAAGATAAATATTTACCATGTCATACAAGCAAGCTCCTATGACCAATAGAAATGACCAAATAACTAAGTTATATAATTACCCCTTTTCAGAATACGATTATATATCAGAGACGATTGGGAACATTCGAGGATGAGAATTTGATGGTGATATATCTGTACTGATTAACCGTAATGCGAGATTTTAGGTGGGAAATTAATAGGTATGGTAGACAAAATGAACTACTTATTCACCATGAAAGATTGCAATAAAATAACTTCAAAACTTAATATTCGGAAGTCAAATATATATGTTCCTCTATTTCTTTATCACACTGCTGACAACTATCCTTATTGAATAGCAAGATAAAATTGAAAACTCAAATAGCTTTGTATAATTGATTGATTTGGCTAGTAAGCTTCCCATGATGCCGTTACTTCAAGTTAAGTGACATACATTGTCTTCCAGTTGTTTTTATTCTGACAATGAGTATAGTAAAGACAACAATTTTACAAAATTCAACCAGGAAATTAGATGGAACGGCAATGTAATAGCATCAATTTGTGTACGAGTATTTACAATTTCATGAATACAGTGAAATGTCACATTGTAAAATGTTATCAGATAAATGTTTGAACATATAGATTCACAATACTCATCAGAATTTAACTGAACTTTTACATGTGGTACTGTAATGAACAAAACCACAAGCGGGGACAACCAAATATCTCCTAATACAACATTGGTAGAATCTGAGAACCATACAGTAGATAATTCATTTGCAAAATATCGATCGATTGCTACAGACATTTTGTTGTTCCTTCGTTTCCATACCAATCATTCTCTGTTCTCGTTCTCTTCTCTTTGATTTTCTCAACCTTCTGTTGCTAGGCACTCCACTTTTGTTTAGTGATACATACTACTTATACATGTCAACATTATTAGTATACACCACAGTACTATTTTCTATAATGTTTTTCATCTATCTGCAGTGTTTGCTTTGTAAATAAAATCTTTCATGATACTTAACTAGTTGCTTGAGATGATTTGTTATTTAATCACTATGCTTACCTTGATAAATTGCCAAAAACAGTAATTTGAAATTTTGTTCTTTCCTTTGTATTTAGCAAAAAAGACAAATCACAGTAAGAAATCATTATATTATGTTTAGAGTAAACAAAAAACCAACTCATTTGTTCCATTAATTCTTACACCATTATATGTTAAATTTCTTTCTCTATCAAAGATTACTATGAATTAATACATGCATACATGCATAGTTCAACCAGGTCTATTGGGAGACATCAACCCACTGATGACATTGTTGAATGGTTGTTAAATTTCGTGGGTTGGTTGAAGTTAGACATTAACATCGTTGGATGTCAGCTCAGTGGTCTATGGGTAAAAAGCTCGCGCGCGAGACTGGTAGGTCCTAAGTTCGAATCTCGCTAGACGGGATCGTGGATGTGCACTGCTAAGGAGTCTCACAATAGGAGGAAACGGCCGTCCAGTGATTCCAGGTTTTCCATGGTTGTCTAGCTTCAATTGACTCGTGATCTCAAATCTATAAAATTACTAAAATCTCCACCAAACACCTTCTGATAATGATCATGTGCTCACTAGTGACTGGCTCTATGAGGTATTTCTTGGAGTTCTAGTGAGAAGCAGTAACCAGTGCAGTTCAACCAGGTCTGTTAGAAGATATCAACTCACTGATGATATTGGTGAATGGTTGCTCAATTTCGTGGAATGATATATTTTAACCATATTGTTAAGTTAAATAAGAGTAAATATGACCTGAAAATAAGAAATCGTTTTCAATGTTTTGCATGTATAAACATGAAAAGTCCTCTTTGCACTAACCATTCTTTTTTCATAAAATTGTGAAATTATTGATCATAAGTCAGTTAATCAATATCACGAGAGAGCATGGCACAAAAGGGTGTGGCACAAATTACCATATCAGATCAATACAACGAGATGAAATTAACAAAATAAAAGGGAAAAGAGAAATAAACAATTTAGTACTAATGCTATTCAGAAAATCTGGAAATATAGAAAAGATAGATTGTAGCTACCATCGGAATCCAGGACACACATTTTATTCTATTTGAGACTCGTCAGACAATTGCGCTTGGAACAGTGTTGGTGTTCAGTTCAGGACTCGGACCACTTATCTTTGACTCCGACTGCCCAGCATGTTAGCCATCTAAGCACTGAGATCAAAAAACCACGCACTTGTGTAACGGTTACGGACTTTATATAATTGTTTGGATGGGTTTAGACTATCCTGTTGTTGATACTGTTTGACTCCCAAAGTTAACATCAACATTAAAATGAAGATACATTCAACTAACGAGTCCTAAATAGAATGAAATATGTACCCTGGATTTAACTTCTAGCTTCAATCAACCTATTCTATAAAAACGTACGAAAAGAGGCCGTATTGAGGCAATATGCACAGGATATACTATGCCAGTAAAGACTGATCGAAACTCGGTCAATAACAACAGAACAATCCAGACCCATCCTAATAATAATGTTAAGGGTATATTTTAGAGAGATTGAGTGTAAAGATTTATATGAAAAAATTCAAGATCCAGAAGAAGATAGAGAATTAATGCATCAGCGCTTTTGAGATTGATTCCAAGCCAGTGGTTAGGTATAATCAAAAAATGTCTTAACCCCTTTAGTTGATCAAGGTTTACAAACTCATCAACTAAAGCTTAGTAGTAAACTGACTACCACAATTGGTTGATCACTGAGTGGTGTACCTATAATCTTCTGGGAACTGGTGCTTCCTGACGGATTCGATCCCATGTCACTCAGCTTCATAGTCAGAGACGTTGCCACTGAGCTATTCGGGCCGCAGCCGGCCTTCTGTAGGGCTGAGATGTAATCACAATTGATTGATCACTGAGTGGTGATCAATGTCATGCGTGTCAAGTAAACTGATTATATTTACCCGATGTAGCATTTAATGCAATTAGTCACTTTGATAAATTTCGATAGTCTAATAAGGAGACGAAGATTATCAGAACTTTGTGATGATATATTAGCGTAATACATTTTGAACAATCTGATCATTCAGAGGTGATTCAAATAGTCTTTTATTGAAAAAAAAAGCTTAAACCAGTCATTAAAAATACGTATTAAATAGTGAGGGTCATTGTGAAGGAAAGAACAAGGTTAATGCTTCATCGAAATCCTAAAAGACATGAAAACGATTCAATGGAGATGTAGTTGATGATGTGTCACGTGATAGACTGACTAGAGCAATCAAGAGAACATTTAATGTAGCCAACATCTGTCTATCGTACTCGGTCCGATCTATGATGACTTCTCAACTAAAATATAAGTTACCTGGTTATGCCACTTCTATCTGTATCTACGAATTCAGCTGCTCTGTGGAGAAAACTAATCGGGCACATTACCAGTCAACTCAGCCAAAAAGTTACTGAGCACCTTCATCTGTGTTTAGGATAATAAGCAGCTCGATTCTATCACACTTGATCGATAGTAGTCATGTAGTAGACATCGTATTCCTATTAGTTTTCTTTATATGGTTCGATCTCGTCTCTTACACATAGCAGAAGCCATAGGAATTTGATCCAACAAACCAAGTCTTTGCGTTCACAAGAAATTTGTAATGCCTTTATCTCATCCTTGGTCTCAATAAACGACTTTATTTATTATTATTTTCCATACTCTTTCTTCGTTTATTTTTCTTCACCCCCTCCCACCCTTTTCTTTTCGCAAATAAACGCTTCACTGTCCAATTATCTGAACACTTCTTATTACGTAATCTTATACATTGTATGAATCTTATTTTAGTGTCTATATTTTTTCTAATCATTTACCTATTTCCCATTATGTAACATTGATTCAAGCCTTTATTATTACCTATCACAACTAGTACACCTGTCATCACACTACCAATATGTACTTTTCACTTATTACGTTCAATTATGTAACCTATTCCAATGTTATCATTGACTAATAAACTGCCTTGTTTGGTTTAATAATTTCGTATATGCATATAAATATTACTGTATATTAAAATAAAGCCTGATGAGGATTTAATCGAAAACAATATTGTTCGCTTATATATGATGTCTAATTCTACTTGAAGTGTGTACTGATGGTGTCGTTCAAAGGAACGGTGAAAGCTTCACGGCCAAACCATCCAGCTTAGAGAGTAAAACTCCATATATATATATATATATAACATTTTTAAAATTACTATAATATCCTTTCCGATATTAATCAACATATGCCCACTGGTGACTGGCTTCAAGAGGTATTTCCTGGAGTTCTAGTGAGAAGCAGTGACCAGTGGAACTCAACCGGGTCTGTTGTGAGATAGTAACTCACTGAAGACAATGATGGGTGTGTCGCTCAATTTTGTGGATCGGTTGAAGTTAGACATTAACGCCATTGGATGGTAGCTCAGTGGTCAAGAGTTCAGGCGTTCATGTGCGAGACTGATGGGTTCTAGATTCGAGTTTTGCGAGGCGGGATCATGGATGCGCACTGCTGAGGAGTACCACAACAGGGCGAAACGGCTGTCCAGTGCTTCCAGGTTTTCCATGGTTGTCTAGCTTCAATCGACTCAGGATTTCAACTATTAAAATTTTAATTTCACTTCGTGATTATATTTTAAAAATTTATTAGATTCTAAGAATTTTCGAAGTTTATTTTTTTCCATTTCAACTTAATTTTTTTATTTATTAATAACAAATTACTTTGAACAAAATGTTGTAATTGTTTTTCAATTAATTTTTTCACATTTTTAGTAGCCATAAGGAGAAGTAAGAGATTTTAATTGTTTTAGTTTGTTTGTTTGTTTTCTCTTCTCAGATATTATTTATCATCGTAATAAGCAAATATGGATAGTGGCTAGCAGTGGAATCCAGGACGCACATTTCGTCCTATTTGAGACTCGCCAGCTGCCCCATATCCATCTTTGCTTATAAATCTTGTGACCTCAGGCAATATCGAGACAGTCAGCACAGAATTCACAAATGCCAACAAGAGATTGATTAATTGCAGTCCTAAATAATAATGGGAAGATACAAGTAAACAACAACGAGTGAATTTTTTTCTATCGTAATAGTTTATGTTGTTTTGTAAACATTTTCACAAATTATTGATTATTGTATGGTTATTTTTTTCGATTTTTTAGGCACAAAGACGGTCATAGTCAGTAAGTTTTGCATTTTTTTAAATAAACTTACAAAATGAGTCAACTATTTGGGGGGGTGAATGAAACTTCTTAATTTACAGTATATTTGATGCACGTGAAAGGTATTAATTTCAATGGTGTTTTAGATACTGATAACATTTATTTGTTGTCCTTTGTAGTAAACTGAATTTAAAATACATATAGTATTGTTTGTTTAAATCTTTGCATTGATGTTTAGAACTGGAATTGATCAGTCTCCTATAGGCCATATGTGTATACTGTGCGTATTGCCTCGATATAGTCTTAATTCATAAGCATTGTAAGCAAAGATGGATAGTGACCAGCAGTGGAATTCAGGACGCGCGTTTCGTCCCACTTTGAACTCGTCAGCTGGATGTACCTGTATATCAGGGTTGATGTTCACTCTGAGACTTGAACCCAGTACCTTTCGCTTCAAACGCCATCGCGTTATCCACTCAGCTACTGAGTCCTGATAGTCACTTGCTTGTGCAATGGGGTGAAGTTTAAATTCACTTGTTATTACTTGTTTGAATCTTCCCATTGATGTTTAGGACTTGCACAAGCAAGTGGCTATCAGGACTCACTAGCTGAGTGGATAACGCGATGGTGTTTGAAGCAAAAGGTACTGGGTTCGAGTCCCAGATTGAACATCAACTCTGAGATGCAGGTATATCCAGCTGACAAGTCTCAAATAGGTCGAAATGCTCGTCAACCTGGATTCCATTGCTAGCTACTGTCCATCTTTGCTTGTAAAGCATGTTACTTCAGACAATATCGAGGCAGTCCGCACAGTATGCACATATGCCAACATAGACTGATCAATTGCAGTCCTAAATAACAATGGGAAGATACAAGTAAACAACACCAAGTGAATTTAATATCTAACTTGTATCAGACACTTTACATATGATTTATTCAATCAAATAAGATTCTAAGTCCTGCCTTATCTATCAGATGTAAGAGACTACAAAGAATTGCATTGGATAATTGGATTTCGTTCCTTGAAAAATGTATTATCTAGTTACTTTCTTATATCATGAAATACAGTAAAAGATCCTCTATACACTACGCAGTTCAAATATTGTTCAAGCTATAAAAAGGCATATTTTAATCATAATTTTCCTCAGTTTAATGTAATTTCTGGTTTACTTCCACTTTTAACAGCCACAGATCGGGTTCAAAACATCGGTGAGTGTTATCGTATTCAGAAAAGAATCATATAAAATACAATTGTTTAGTTTAATACAGAACTGTGAAGCATTTCCTGAGATCAGTCAATCAGTCACAACCCAGAACCTCGTACGTACGTACATCAGTTCGAGTTGCCATACCACATTAGCACAGAGATGCAACTACCGGTTCAAATCCCATAATGGTAGAAGTAGTGAGAGTATAAGCAGTAATCGGAAAGATTAGGGTTTGAAGATGTTATTGAAGGAGTATAATACAATGAAATAAATTTGGAAAGAGAAAAAGGATACAGACATGAAGAATTCAGAAATTAGAATTTGGTAGAACACAAAGAGCGGATGCACCTTCGCCATTGCAAACGATTTTGAGCCATGTCATTCAAGGTCTCTAACCATCGGTTGTTATCATCTCGCGAATCCCAACCAGGTAGTCTACACCTACCAACATGGCTCAGTCCACTTGTCAGCGACCTCATGGAATTATGCTACGTTTTGGTTAGGCCGCACCTAGCTTTCTTCCAACCTACTCCTACACCATGAAACATTGTACGTCGGGGCAGTCGGTGGTTGGGAATACGTAACACGTGTCCCAGCCATCTCTGACGAACTTTCACTACTTCATCAATCGATTTGCCATCCTTACCTAGTACCCGTTACCGAACAACCACATTAGTTACTCGGTGGTCCCAGGATATACGAGCAATGTTTTGAAGACACGTATGATCGAATACTAGTAGCCTACGAAAATCCTCTACACTTATCGGCCATGTTTCACTGCCATAAAGTAGGACGAAACGAACTGCTGCACAGTAAACCCGTCCTTTGGTTGTTAGACGGAAATCTCGCCTACGCCATAAATGACGCAAGTTTGCAAAAGCTAGACAAGCCTTCTGTATCCGTGCTGAGATTGCGTCACACATCAGACCACAAGGGCTGATGAGACTCCAAAGATAAGTGAAGCGGTCAACACGCTGAATTTCTTCACTCACTATCATTAGTTCAGGTGTCGACGCAACCCAATCCTGAAGTAACATTTTGCACTTCGTGGGAGAGAATCGCACCCAAACATGCCTGCATAGTTGCTTATAGGGGTCAGAAGACTCTGTATTTTGTCAGCATCTTCACCAAATAAAACTATGTCGTCGGCGTATTTCCTGAGATAAGTAATGAGATACGTTGCTTATAATTAATTGCAATTATTTTAATACTTCAAGTAAATCATCAACTCATATTCATAAATCTTACAATGTAGGTTTCTGTGGATTCTGAATAGTGAAATTTCAATTCCAGTTTAAAGACATTCCTTGATATAAGTTAGATGAAAGTTCCAATGATAGTTTATAAGGTGTATTGAATTGCTACCTTTGAAGTAATTCGTTGTTTAATCAGTTTAGAATGGTGAACATTAGTTACTACCGGAATTGATTAAGAGGTAATATTCCTAGTTGTAACAAACTCTGACTCAGATTGTAACTCAGTTGGGAGCGATAGGTCAGTTAAGTTATCGAACACTTTCTACATCGAAATTTAATTACAGGGTTTCTTCTCGATTGCCTACAGAAAAGCGACAACAACAATATATTGTCACACATGGTCATTTGGAAATGGTATAACATTACAACTCAATCTACAGTACTCGACGAGGGATAAATACTAGAAGCACGATACTGTTAACACTCGGTGATTAGTTAATGTTAAGTAGAGTAGGGCGTAGTCACATATTTCTGGTGAACTAAATAAAACATACAATTTTTATTCATCTTATATATCGAAAGCTACATATCTCTGTATTTCAATCCGTTTTACGACTGTTCAGGTTTTTATTTACTTATAGGAATAATAACTTCAGAATCATGACTAAAACGGTTTATGATCTTTTATAGAAGATTCAATTGATGTCACTGGTGATAATGATACATTTATAGTTGAAATCATGAGTCAATTGAAGCTAGACCACCATGAATAACCTAGAAGCACTGGACACAATTGACTCATGATTTCAACTATGAAAAATACTGAAATCTCTACAAAATCCCTACTGATTATAATCATATGTTCACTAGTGTCTGAATTCAAGATACATGTCCTGGAGTTCCAGTGGGAAGCAGTGACCAGTAGAGTTCAACCACGTCTGTTGTGAGATATCAACTCACTGAAGACAATTGGTGAACGGTTGCTCAAAGTTCGTGGATTGGTTGAAGTTAGACATTAACACCATTGGATGTTGGTTCAGTGGTCTGTCGATTTAGTGCTCTTGCGCGAGACTGGTAAGTCCTGGGTTCGAACCTCGCGATGCGAGGTCATGGATGCACACTGATGAGGAGTCCTACAATAGGACGAAACGACCTTCCAGTGCTTCCAGGTTTTTCATGATGTTTTAGCTTCAATCGACCCGTGATTTCAACTATGAAAAATACTGAAATCTCCACAAAACCCCTTCTGATACGTTTATACATAAGAAATGTATATTAGAATCATTTTCTCCTAAGTAGCTTGATCCGATCTGAAGTTAATCAACTAATATGCTTCTATATTTAAATATTCATAATCAATATCTTAATCACTATGTTTTTTAAAAAAACTTTATTTGATTAGTTCTGGGTCATCGTAAGTCAATTTTTGATAATTGGTCCAATTATGAAATTGTTATTTCACTCATATTTGATACATAATGGACACTTAATTTTAAAGCCCCCATTACTTTTTATCTCTTATCTGATTACATTTAACTTTTTTAAGAGGTCAGGACTGAGGTCTATTCATTAAGCTCCGGAATTATCTCACCTATAAGTCGAAGTTTAGAACTCTCACACCTACAATCTTTCATGAAGAATGAAAAGTCGTTTCTAGATACTCTATTTAGGTATATTGAAAAGTTGAAAAAATTACTATGCTTGCATCCCACCACATACTATGCTACTTTCAGTTTTCCAATTGTAGCTAATATAGATTATTATTCCATAATAAAACGTTAACATTTGGTCACCAAGTAATAACGGATAGGTGTTCAAAATTATTGCACGTCTATTAGAGATTTCAAAATATGGATTATGTAGTAACTGAGTTAATATTTCCTGACCAATAAATTAGCAGATACTGCTGTTTCAGCTGATCTCTTTATCTTAAATTTGTTTTAATCACATTCTGTTGGCTCACTTTTTTTAATTCCATTATATTATCAATTTGAAGCTAATATGGGACTCCTCAGTAGTGCATATCCACCATCCCTCAGGGAGAAGTCAAACCTAAGACTTTAGGTCTCACTTGTAAACGCTTTGCATGCCGACTGAATGGTCTAGAGGTCAAGGATTTGCTCGTTAGTTCGAAGGTCCTGTGTCCCATTCTCGGTCGCGGGTGAGCAACTTTGAGTCGTCTCATACTAGGACAAAGCAGCCGTTGACTATTTCCGGGTTTCCAGTGTTTGATTTCACCGAATTTAAACAATCCCCACAACCCTATACATATAATTCTTTTAGTTGCATGTATTTTTTCGCCTAAAAGGTAAACGTCCACTTAAGATTTGTTCATCGATAATGTAAACTAGAAATCAACATCTTTTCTATTCCCTTCTAAATTCAAATAAAATAAACTAATGAATCTGTAAAATAATTTTGTATCTAATACTTGGTTCATTTACATTTCATTGTTATGAATGGTACAGTAGACACATGATCTGAAATACTTCATTTGTTTATGAATACAAATTGAAAGTGAACTGTGTAAGCATTTAGGAAATGTAATCTACTTTGCTTAGGTTGTTTCACATAAGTGCTTTCTTAGTAGGGTTGATTTTATTACAAACTGATATCATCAGCTCTAGAATAATTGAAAAAAGTAGTGAACATCATTTTGTCAAAGTTTGAGAATTCTCAATAATAATTACCCACAAAGAATGAAATTCATGACAATGATTAGCCAGTGACAATGTGGAAATTACAGTTGTACGTCGAGGTTTAGTATTTCAAAGTTCCACTTTTTTTCTGTTTCAATTCAACACAATTCACATCTGGTGTCATCAACTAGTTATCTACTTACATGAGACTTGGATAACTTCACAGGTTTTAGTTTTCTACAGAGATTTCCGAAAATTCATCTAAAAGTTAGCCGTCAATAAACATACATGGCTATGATAACATATGAGATCATTTCAATTCATATCAGTTCACGATAAAATCACCAGTTAAAACAAACAATCATTCTAACAAGATCTAGATCACTTGAGTATGTGCAGCACTTCTTACTTACGCCTGTTACTCCCAATGGAGCATAGGTCGCCGACCAACATTCTCCAACCCACTCTGTCCTGAGCCTTCCTTTCTAGTTCAATCCAACTTTTGTTAATTCTTCTCATATCTGTCTCCATTTTTCGGCGAAATGTGTTCCTCGGTCTTCCTCTCCTCCTTTGGCCATGAGGATTCCATGTGAGTGCTTGTCTTGTGACGCTGTTGTCTGCTTTCCTCAATGTGTGTCCTATCCACTTCCAGCGCTACTTCCTGATTTCCTCCTCCACTGGATGGAATATGGTTTGTTCTCTCCTATAGTAGGTTGTTGCTGATAGTGTCTGGCCATCGGATCCGAAGTATTTTGCATAGACAACTGTTATTAAACATTTTTATCTTCCGGATGATGGCTTTCATAGTTTCCAAGGTTACCGACCCATATAGTAGAACTGTCTTGACATTTGTATTGAAAATTCTAACCTTGGTGTTGGTTGACAATTGTTTTAAGTTTCAGATGTTCCTCAGTTGTAAATATGCCGCTCTTGCTTTGCCGATCCGCGCCCTCACATCTGCATCTGATCCACCGTGTTCATCAATGATGCTGCCCAGATATGTAAAGGTTTCCACATTCTCCAAAGCTCCTCTGTCAAGTGTAATTTGATTGGTGCAACACTTCACCAGAGTAGTATTTCTAAAATACCTACATGAGTTTCAATGATCAAAATATGAATCTTTTTTTCTATGCATAATTGACAGTTATATTTCAAAACTATTCGTTTACATAAATCACCTAGACAACAAGATATCATATAGCAAAATATACATATTACTCTGGTAATAGATAACGTTTTAGCTTGTCACAAGACTTTCATAATTCATACAATTCATTCTCACAATTGTTATTTTTCACTTATTTTAAAGTCATGTGGGTTTTTAAAAAATATAACAAGATGAAATTGACATTTCATTCTCAATCTGAATTTTTTGGATCAAAGAAAGACATAATCACAAGATATTACTTAATTAAAGCTGATTTAATAATTTGTACCAAAATGGTTGTAGAAAAAAATAGAATCAAACGACCCGATAAGAGTAGAGGATAAACATCCATCATCCTCTATTGCCAAACATATAATCGAAACAAGCCATAAGATTGATCTTAACTCGGCTTTTGTTGTGTTGTTTAAAAGTGTAAAAGAGAATATACTAAGGTTTATTGAAGCCTTAGCCATACGAAAATTCAAACCTCCTTTGTGCATTCAAAAACAGTTTGTTCTGACATTAAACCTACCCTGGTAATATTAACTTATTATCTAGACTGATTAGGTTTCAAACTGTTTTCACATTATTATTATTATCCTTGTCTACCATTATCCCCTCCATTTTCAGTCTAGTTGACCTTTTATTTTGTTCTTAACAAGTAAATGTGTGATCAGACTGTTCGAAATGTATTGAGCTAATATATCATCACATAGTTCTGATAATCTTCGTCTTCTTATTACACTATCGAAATTTATCTAAGGGACTAATTGCCTTAAATTTCTTAAGATTTGTTGTTTTTTGAAAATTCATTATATTTTATCAGTATGGGATTTGGGAGATTTTTAAGTTTTGGTTGAGATCATCAATCCGTTGATGTTAGAAAACTGTTGAAAATCTGAAAGCACTGCATGGAGGTTTCGTTCTAGTATGGGACTCCTTAACAATGGTCTCACATCAACCGATTTATTAACTTGTTATATCCCGAAAAGAATTAGGAATGGTAACTATTAAGAACAAGTTATGGACCAATATAATACGTATATTTCCTATCGTGTAATGGTTAGGTAATTTAACTATTCATATTAATGTTCCTCTTATTATAAGCTTCGTTTTGACCGATAGACTATTACTATACGATTTGCCGTTCTTGAGTTATCCTCAGTCTATTAATTACTGTTCCCCACATTTAGCTGAATCATGTACAAATTTTATTTTCCATTTTATGCTACGATGTGGTCTGTCTGTTTGGTATATAGACCCAGTATGTTTGAAAATAATGATTCATACTGCAGAGGCTGAAATTGGTTTTCTGGGCTGGACTGACTGGTCTAGGCAGAGAGCATGACCGACAAGTACTCTAGACTGCTCGCACGGGTTTTGTGTGTGATTGGTCCGATCAATAAATCCCTGCTCTTTAATTAGCGGTATCGTCAAGTCATATAGATTAACAGGGCATCCAAGCACATGATATAACAAATCTCAATCAATATATTTTATAATTGTCTACTGACTTATTAATATCTTTGTTGATATGATATCATCAGTTGATTTAACAGTATAAATGGATTGCTTGAGAAATCCTCTCAATTATGAAACAGTATCTTAGAAATTCATCTTCAATGCATTAAATATCAATGTGATTATAAATGGCAATTCAATGTCATCCAACTTACGGAATGTGTGTTCAGATTATGAAATATGTAGTTGACTATAGGTTAGAATTATTTTCAAGCAATATTGATCTGATTTCAAGTATAACTTGAAGTATGTGGAGGATTTATATGCCTCATGAGATTTTCAGGACCTTGACTAAGTTTCGAGACCTTAAAATTTAGGTTTTTTTCATCATAGAAGCTTACCACTTTATTTCTGGGTACTTTATAAAGCCTATAATACTCTTTTTTTCTTCGATTTCACATACTTCCCATTGGATGAACAGAACGAAAGATTGTAAAAATTTTATTTGAACATGTGAAGAGCAAAAATACTGCCTAATAAAACCAAAACAATGAAAGAACCATCTCTTATTAGTTGACGTTTAGAGCAAAATATGAATGCATAATAGAAATCTGTCTTTGTATTTACACTAAATTTTGTATTCAGTGATTATACTATAAACGTTTATGTAACAGGTCATAATAACAAGAGTTGAGATCTGGCAGTTACAAATAAAATTATGAATACGAAGTAGAAAGTTTTGAAAGGATGATGTAATAAAATAAGTTGAAAGGCAGGACGAGATTTATGAAAATCTCCTTTTAAATTCATAAATCTGGTGTGAGGCATTCGATCACAAAGCTCCAGATAAGTTTGGTATGCTAAAGTTCTATTATCTCTAAGTCATCTCGGAAGATTTGGATTTATCATCCTATATCAAAAAGATGACTTGATATTACACTGTTGATAGAGTATAATTCTTTAGAACCCAAGAATCTTGGAACATATTCTTGGAATTGAATGTAGGCTTTTCTTTCTATTCTGCTAATGTAACTGTTTTGGAGCATGTTAGTGAATTTATGCACACAGTGAGCGGTAGCATAAAAAGGGTACTTATCGTTATTTGATTGTTATATTGCGGTATTTTTCATCCATTTTTATAAGGTCTTCTTCATCGTAAGTTAAATTTTTAAAATAAATTAATATACACAAATACTTTGGGATAAAAAAGTTTGATTACAATTTGGAGTATTATCTAACATATTAACCTTGAGGTTGGATTAGTCGGTCAACAATTTTATGCACAATCGTTTTACAGATGAAACGGATGTCAACAGTAGCACTACCACAAATCCTTTGCGACAAACGTCTTATTTAGTAGTATACCAAAACTTAATCAGTTATATCAATAGCCAGCTATTAGATCTGTAGCAGAATTAATGTTTAGCACAATTAAACAATATTCAGTACGAGTAAAGTATTTTACATTCCTAACTTAAAAAATTCCGAATGTAAATAAAATGATCAACTTACGTATTCATGAAACTTGATCGTTTTTCGAGTTTTTGTGAAGTAACTATGAGCGAGATCATAAGGACAGATGGATGGTGGCTAGTAGTGAAATCTAGGATATGCATTTCGTTCTATTTGGGAATTGTTAGCTGGAGTGATCATTAATATCGGGATGTAGAAACATCCGGCTGACGAGTACCAAAGAGGATGAAACGAGAGTCATGGATTCCACTGTTAGCCATCATCTATCTCTGCTTATAATGCTTTTGATTTAAAACAATAGTAAGCGCAATCCGTACAAGATGTACTATGCCAGTAAGTGACTGACCAATTGCAATCCGAAACATCAATGAATTATGGGTGAGACCGCGTAAGCCAATGAGAAAGCACATACGAAGATACGATGAAATATAGAGAACTTAAATGCTATGGCTTATCTGAGTAAATTGTTCATGAAATAGTTGACAAGTTCAACGTATACTAAACATTAAATATAATTTAAAGAATCACTAGTAAGATTAATATCTTTTAAGTTTTATTGTTCGCTTTCATCTATTTGTTTAATAAGTTTATCATAAAAATATGTTTGTACTATGTGCATCATCTTCATTTTCAAGTTCCCTAATATTAATTCAACGTGTGTTGTTTAACATTTAACTTAGATCGGATTCCGACCATAAAAAGTAAGTGTTATTACGTATAAGACGAACAACTAGTTATCAATTTCGTGGATTGGTTAGAGTTAGACAATAACACCGTTAGATGTCAGCTCAATGGTCAAGAGGTTAAGTGCTCACGCTCAAGACTGATTGGTCCTGGGTTCGAATCTTGCGAGGCGGGATCGTGAATACGCAGTGCTGGGGAGTCCCACAATAAGACGAAACGACCATCTAGTGCTTCTAGGTTTTCCATGGTGGTCTAGCTTCAATTGGCTCACGAATTCAACTACAGATTAACTAGTTCACTGTTAAATATAGTATAAAACTGTAAAGAATAGTGCTCAATACAACGATTTACAAGTTAAGTACGTCTACAATTATGCCTTAGTCTTCAGGTGAGTTTATTTAGGCAAGGCAAGTAGAATTTGGGAGTTCAATATCTTAATACCTAAGTAGTTACTAAGACATTTTATAAAACTAAGTAACGTGAAGACTGATTTTGATATACAACAAAGAACTGGTAATTTGTTTTCGAACTCTAACTAACACTCTAAGAAATCAACGAAGCACTGTAAAGATAGATAAAAGTGAATTGGTTACACTCCGTTGATCGAGTTACACTAAAAGTATCAGCCTAAATAATTTGATATTGTTTTAAATAATTCAAAAGTAACGTTGGAGACTATAAAGCTGGGTGACTAAAGTTTGAATCCTGCAGGAAGTATCAATTTCTTTAATATTATAAAAACACCTTGATGATCAGTAGCATCTAGAATTAAACCTAGGTTAGATAGAATTTCCTGCTGACTTCTTCCAACTATCTAGCATCAGAAATTTGAAACTTCATATTCTTGGAAATATTAAACGTTGAATACAAAACTGTTCATTTAGGTTAACTTGAAGTTTAAAATGGTTTGAAACTAATCTTATCGTTATCTGTGTCAATATAAAAAAAAATTTTTTTTGGTACTTTAAAACAATAGGAAGTAAAAATCATGGGATTAGTAAGTTCTTATATTTTTCATACAAATATCCTGTTGACGAAAACATGTTGTTTTGAATAACATTTATGACGATTGGTATTGTGTATTGTATAAAATGAGAATACAGTATATAAGATATATCTTAAATGAATTACCTCCCTTATTTCTAATACTTGATAAGCCCACAAGAATAAAAACAATTTTGCAATGGAATGGCATAAGAACATGGAAATTAAAGGTTTCAGTTCAGAAGAACTAAACCATATATCGGTAACCTTTAACGACATATTCTAATTTGGTTGTTATTTACACTTAAATCAATCGAATTGAGAGAAATAGTAATAAAAGAAGTTAGAATGTAAATCAATAATCGGTCAAATGTCAACCCTGTCTCCGACATACGTTTTGTATGCATTCACTTTTTCTCAGTGTGCTGAGATTTAGTTTTATTCTAGGTTTAATAATGAAAATAATTTCCAATAAACTGAATTACATGCCGAATCTGTTGTCCCACAATCACATCTTCCTCATGTAATTAAAAAAGAGCTAATTTTACATTCTCGTGTTTGGGTATTATGCTTTAAATTGGAAGCTATCAAAGGTACTTTTGAAGTTAAACCATCTTAAACTTTGAAAAAGCAAAATTGATATCAGTAGAAAACTGAAATTTATTAAGATATCTACTGTAGTGAGAACACGAGTGAAAATAATGGAATGTATTTCGGAAAACATTACAGAATATCTCATTAAAATATGAGAACCATATAGAGAATAGTTAATTTGCAAAATAACAATCAATGGTCTCAATTTGACTGTTTCATATGCAAATATCCATCCATAGTCTCCGATTATAATTGTTCATGCATTTTTGTACCAATTGCGTGCCGTTTCCGTTTTCTCCTTGTCGATCTTCTACTGAAATACATTCAATGCCCGACCATCACCACATACTACTTATGTGGATATCAGTAACCCACACCACACTACGAATCGGTAATATAATTGTGTGAATAGTTTTGGCAGAAAAGTAAAAAAAGACACTTCATAAATTGGAATCAGGAAATGTTGATAGGAAATAAAATCTAGAAGGCAATCGAGAATCATATATGAACTTTTATTTAACAACTTATAAAGTAGTGCGATCTGGTTACCCAGAGCTCCCTGATTTTGAATGATTGTCCAACGTTCGTCAGTTTATGGCCAAAAAACATTTGTCAAGTAAAGATGTACATTATATGTTACCACTGTGTTTGAATGGTATTTATATTGGATGATTATCTAAATGGAAGTAATATATGAAATCATATTCAAGCCTGTGGTTTATGAATTGCATGTCCGACGATAGAACGAAACGGCTGTCCAGTGCTTCCAGGTTTCCCATGATAGTCTAGCCTCAATTGACTCATGACTTCAACTATGTAAAATTACTAAAATCATCACAAAAACCCCTTTCTGATATATATTTAATCGTATAGCAACTACGACTACAGTTTCATAGGTTTAAATTTTTCTCCTCAAAACTTTAACCGTTTAACACCTATAAACAACCTTTCGTATTCATTTTATTTTAGAGAAGAATGAAACAGTTTCCAATTTATTTCCTTAGTTATTTTCTCATTAAAGTTAAATGTTATTAAAATACATTCATTTAAATTAATGTTAAACGAATTACTTTTTTTCGCCTTACAAACTCTCGTCAAAACTTTGTATATTAGAAGTGTAGAACTCAAATAGCATGTGTTCACCAAGTAATGATTAATTGACCTTAGCTTCATTCATTTGATGATACATTTCCCCAATGTTAATGCTATACAGTCAAAAGAAGTGTCTTCTAATGATCTTTGAGGGTTCACAAACTTTTTCGTAACTTAGAAATCACCTGAAACTTAAAAACTTTAGTTACGATAGGAAACAATACAAAGTCCTATTGCCGTTCATAGTTAATGGCTATTAGTGGTTAACAGTAAATATGGGTGACTCAACAATGACTGAAGTTATGAGGAAGATTTATCAGAGGATGAGCTGCCTGGAAGTTAGTGTCGTTTCTGCAGCTATGAGACTATTGTGGTTGACGACTGAGAGAAAAGTCAAAACACTATAATTATGAGACCAGACTGAATATAACTTGGTAAGAGCAGATTACAATATAGACCGGGTATATTTGTCTAAACAATGCAATTAAACTGGTTATAATACCTAAAAACGTTGCAATAGATACCACCAGGTAATTAACATTTCCGGCTGTTTTCTTCCACACTGTGCAGATCAATAATTCAAGTCAGTCACCATGAAATAATGTTTTCTTCATGAATTACTAATGTCTGCCGGACATGTTAGCCGAACATGATCGAACGTTCAAGGTCGTCAACAGTGTCAATGGAGGTAATACCTTGAGAGTTGCAGTCTTATAACTACCATGCCCGTTTCACTTTTACATGATGGACAGGCTATCTTGATTTTCTGAGTAGCCTTAGAGAGCAAACGTCACTGTCATGTTCATTATGTTCTCTGTTTATTAATCGATGATATTACCTTCGTTATGACAATCACGAAGTCGAAAGAATTAGAATGTGAATTATGAACAGCACCTGGGAGATCTATTAACCTGAACTTTTCAAATAGAATGCTAAAACGAGGTGGGAACGTTTGTGTGATGACAAGTGGCGAATAGTAACAACTTTAGACATGTATTATTGTCATATTCTTGAAGACTTATTCCTACTCATTTTGATTTTTCCGTAGCTTGGGATATGTAGCCTAATAGTTCTCATTGCTAAACCAAGTGCACTTAGTTTGAGATTAGAGTAGCATAAGAATCACGATAAACAAATATGGCAGCAGGTTAAACTATAAGTGTAAGTATGAGTGACTTCATATGACCTTGAAAATGTCAAGCAATCCAACCAATTAGAATGAAGAAAATATGAGTAAACCCTTCAAAATGACGGCTCAGGATTCACGTTTAGTTGGTCTCAAAAGATAATAATTATAAAACTGTTTTACGATTATCAATGTATTTATCACGAACTTATATTAGATATGATTCAATAATGCTTCATAACCATAAAAATGAATGAATTTCAACCAAATATTTATTTATTTAGCTCGTAAGTTATAGTCTTATCATTTCGCCAAATCTAACTATTACTAAAACAGTTGTTTTAAACGTGTCTTATGACCAAACATCGGGAGTAAAAAACTATGTTTTCGAACTCATACCAATTGTCATTAAGGATCTAAATTTCTTTACATTAGTATGAAGAATTAGTCCTATTTGACCGAGAAATACTATCCCACATCTACAGCTGCACAACTAATTCTGAACTTATTGTGATGCAAAACAAAATTCGCACCTGCGGTGTTTGAATTAACCTATGATTCCTTGGTATTGATGACTGTTTTGATTTTGAATTCCAAGTGCAATACATTCTTTCGTTCTCATCTAATATTTCATCATTAAATTGCGTTATTTCTGGGATTACTAGCTAATACTATAATTCAAATACTTCAAATCATCACAGTACCTCAACTTGTAATTACCTTATGTTCTGTACCAAGCATGATATTACACCAAATAAAATATGCGACACGACTAGTTCCAACAAATGTGGTTCAATTGATTACCATGTAGCATCAGACAAATTCTTAATGCCTTAGGGAAGTCTTCTCCCCTTGATGATTTAGCTGATATGGCGGATAAGGTAATGGAAGTTTGTCATGATAACCACTATATAAATACGATGCAGCCGTATGGAGCAGCGGATGTCGGCTACTTAAATTCTATTCAAAGACAATTATCTCAATTAACGAATCAACTTGCGGCACTACAGACCACTGTAGCGACGGTGCAGACTACAACATGCAGAGTCTTCTGACCACTATAAGCAACTATGCAGGCATGTTCGGAATGCGATTCTCTCCCTCGAAGTGCAAAATGTTACTTCAGGATTGGGTTGCATCGACACCTGAACTAATGATAGGGAGTGAAGTAGTTGAGCATGTAGACCACTTCACTTATCTTGGGAGTCTCATCAGCCCTTGTGGTCTGGTATGTGACGAAATCTCAGCACGGATACAGAAGGCTCGTCTAGCTTTCGCCAACTTGCGTCAGATATCCGTCTAGCAACCAAAGGACGGGTTTACTGTGCAGCAGTTCGCTACGTCCTACTCTATGGCAGTGAAACATGGCCGGTAAGAGTAGAGGATATTCGTAGGCTACTAGTATTCGATCATAGGTGTCTTCGAAGCATTGCTCGTATATCCTGGGACCACCGGGTAAATAATGCAGTTGTTAGGAAACGAGTACTAGGTAAGGATGGCAAATCGATTGATGAAGTAGTGAAACTTCATCAGTTGAGATGGCTGGGACATGTGTTACGTATGCCCGACCACCGACTGCCCCGACGTGCAATGTTTCATGGTGTAGGAGTAGGTTGGAAGAAAGCTAGGGGTGGCCAGACCAAAACGTGGCACAAATCAATGAAGTCACTGACAAGTGGACTGGGCCATGTTGGTAGGTGTAGACTACCTGGTTGGGATTCGCGAGATGACAGCAACCGATGGTTAGAGACCTTGAATGACATGGCTCAAAATCGTTTGCAATGGCGAAGATGCATCCACTCTTTGTGTTCTACCAAATTCTAATCTTCTGAATTCCTCATGTCTTTATCTTTTTCTCTTTCCAAATTTATTTCACTGTACTATACTCCTTCAATAATTTCTTCAAACCCTAATCTTTTGGATTTCTGATTATACTCCTACTACTTCTACCACTATGGGATTTGAATCGACAACTGCATCTCTGTGCTAATGTGGTATGGCAACTCGAACTGATGTACGTACGTACGAGGTTCTGGGTTGTGACTGACTGACTGAAGACCCCCATCCAGACAGAGATCACGTTCTAGACCACGATCTCGTTCGTCTAAACGAACAGCTGAAATTTGCTGGTATCATACTAAATTTGGCACAAAAGTGCCGCGTTACACACGCCCGTGCGTATTCTCCTCACCTAGCACTGAGAACCAGGGAAACGGCCCGGCCAGGCAGTAATGGCGGCGCCTGACTCTGGCCAAAACTCAAGCCGTCTATTTCACGTTAGGGATCGAATTTCCGGCTCAGATTTTTTAGTCGATATTGGAGCCGAAATCAGCATACTCCCACTTCATCTTTCCCGACGACGGCACTCCCAACATGCTAAATTATCGTTAGTGGCAGCAAACAACTCTATTATTAAAACGTATGGTGAACAATCACTCATTTTAGACACCGGCCTCCGTAGACGTTTTACATGGGTTTTCATCGTCGCTGAAGTTAAACAACCTATTCTCAGAGCCGATTTTCTCAGTACTTAAAATCTCCTTGTTGACATGAGAACAAAAAAACTTATTGACAAAAATACAAGTCTACAGGTCAACGGAGCAACCATCTCCGATTATGAAATTTATGGCGTCCGAATGCTCAGACCTGATAGTAAAACTTTTACCGATATTCTTTTGAAATATGAATGTATAACAAAAGCTGATTGTCAAACTGAAAGCTCCACACACTATGTGCAACATAGTATCACTACTACTGGTCCACCTATCTGCGCCAAGGCGAGGAGATTACCACCCAATAAGTTGCAGTTCGCCAAAAGAGAATTTGAACATATGATGCAACTAGGAATAACCCAACAATCTAATAACCCTTGGGCTTGCCACTACATATGGTTCCCAAAAAAGATCAAGACTGGCGCCCTTGTGGAGATTATAGACGCCTGAATAATCAGACAATTCCAGATAGATACCCTATTCCTCATCTGCATGACTTTTCATTAAACCTGCATGGTAAACTGATCTTTTCAAAACTAGACTTAGTTAGAGCTTATCATCAGATCCCGGTGGCACCGGGATTTAGTAGGATTGATAACTACGCTATATTTCTTGAATCGTTCGAAGAGAACCTGCAGGTGCTGGACATGCTCTTCAAGTGATGAGCTGGCAATTAGGACGTCATCGATATAAACGAATACGAAATCTAAACCACGCGTAACTTCGTCCATGAATCGTCGGAATGTTTGAGCGGCATTCTTAAGCCCAAATGGCATCCTCAATAATTCAAACAACCCAAAAGGTGTGATTACAGCTGTTTTTTTCAGTATCCTCGGGTGCCACCGGGATCTGATGATAATTGTCTTTGAATAGAATTTAAGTAGCCGACATCCGCTGCTCCATACGGCTGCATCGTATTTATATAGTGGTTATCATGACAAACTTCCATTACCTTATCCGCCATATCAGCTAAATCATCAAGGGGGGAAGACTTCCCCAAGGCATTAAGAATTTGTCTGATGCTACATGATAATCGATTGAAGCACATTTGTTTGAGGATAGCTCCATCTAGTGTGTATGGGTCCGCAAATTGTTTCATGTGTCGAAGTAGGTGGGAGGGTCGCTTGTCTCCCAGGTCACATGCATTCAAAGTTGTTGCAATCTTGTCTCATCTGAAACTGTTGTTCGTTGTATTAAAGCCGCTTTCAATTTATCGTACGGCTCAGTTTCCGGAACCTGGTCAATAAGGTCTTCAACTCAGGCGGCAACTTCGATAGGGGGTGAGCTCACTACA